CCCCCCCCCCCCATCACTGGGCAGTGGTGTCACGGGCCGGGGCGGGAGGAGGCAGTGGGAAAAAGTTTGTAAGCTCCATTTTCTAACTGGGTGGTCCTCTGGGCATTCATGCCACAGTCCCCAAAAGAAAAAAAAAAAAGAAAAAAAAAGAAAAAAGAAAGACACTGGTAGCTGGAAAGACGTCCTCAAATTCCTCTATCTGTGCCAGTCCCCATGCCCCGAGAGAGCACACGCATGGAGAAAATTAAAAGCAACTGCTTTACGCTCTGCCCTTCTTCCAATTCAGGCCAAGCATGATTTTGAGGTTAATTCCCAGCCTGTTCCTGTCGTGGGAGCTTCATCTTCCCTACAAACCAAAGGCATGAGGCACAGGCATGGCTCGGTCCAGGCCAGCTGGTGTAGAGAGCAGGGACCCCATAGGGACACCCCCATGGCCCTGCAGAGCCCTGGGTGGCTTCCTCCTGCTGGCCAGGCCGGCTTTGTCCTGGAGATGGAAGAGGGTCTCCAGGAACCATCCACCTGGGGCAGGCTCTGGGGAGCTGACCGACCTCCACGCGAGGTATGCAGGAGGTGCAAGGGGACCATGCGGTGCCAGTGCGGGCACGTCTTGCCAGGAAAGAGGGAATTCCCACGGAAAAGGGAATGTCTCCCTTGCCGGGAAAGGGGCAGTGCCAGGGCAGCTGGCAATGGGTGGGTGGAACAGACAGGACAGAGCCATCAACACCCCCGTGTCTGCCAGGGACCACAGGCCTGATCCTGCCACCAGACAGGATCACAGGGCTCCGAGTGCCCATGCCAGGGCTTGGGGCCATCGGGACAGACCCCCAGCAACAGATTTTCCCAAGGGGGAGGAGCAGATGTGGCGAGTGACCCAGTTTTTCCCATTCCATACAGGCACCAAAGAAGGTCAAATGCAGTTTGGGGGGGGTCAAGGGCACGTCACCCCCTGCCTGCAGCCCCGAGGGGGATGGCCAAGGCTCTCCAAGGGGTGGTGGGGCCACATGTAGCCACCCCAAGTCACACCGACCCCCGGCCGGCAGCACAGCCACGCACAAAAACAACTCGTGAACGCAGCGCTCCCGGGATTAGGGACTTAGCGTCCGCGCAGCCCTTTGAAGTTGGAAGCGCTAAGTCTGATTATTATTAGAGAGCTCCAGCTCATTAATCCTGATGTTTGGGGCTGGTTTTCCCCCCCCCTTCCCAGCCCTGTTCCTAATTCATTTCCCGTGTACAACAGGGATCCACTACGACCGATAAATATTTGTGACGCTTTGCAAACGCACCCCGGTCTCTGCCCCGAGCGGTTCCAGTGCCCCGGAGCACCCCGGGAAGCTGGGGGGGCAGCTCCTAACACCCACACAGGTATTTTTATATAATAAAAATCCAAAAAAGACACGAGTGCGTAAGTGTGAAGTACCTTCACCTTTCCTGCAAGCCAAGTAGAAAAGGTCAGATGACTCAAAAGGACTCCTCTAGCCTGACTCTAGGTAATCAGCAACACGGTCCCTGTCCATGGGGCGAGCGGGACACACTGAGGACAGAGACCCCACACCACAGTCCGGGATCCCCCCCTCCCTAAACCAAGCTTAAAAAAAAAATAAAAAAAATTAAAAAATAAAGTTTAAAAGGCAAAAAAAAATTCAGAGCTGTTAAATAATGAACCGTTATTCCTGGGTGTGCTTTGGAGGAGCACACCCCCACATCCAGCCAGGCTCCTTGCCACGGCAAAGAGCCTTCTCCTCCTCCTCCTCCAAGGGGGATGAATTCGGAGGGGAGGCAGGGAGGGTGGGGGGAAGCGGGGCTCCTCGGCGGGGCGGGAGGGTGCGTGCGTGCATCACACGCTCCCAGAGCCACCATCTTATCTGGGAAGCGGGATTACTTCACCCCGGCTGCAACGGGAGAAGCCGAGCAGGATCGCGCCGTTTTTCCCAAGCGGAGCCCCCCCCCTCCCCCAAGGGCCTGGATCTGTCCCCACAGCAGCCGCCCGCAGTGGCAGCCCCCCCAAAGGCCACCCGTCACCCCAAAAGGAACAAAGCAAACGAGGGGCTGCCCAAAACACGGCCCTGGGTCCCTGGGGAAGGCGGCAGGCCCCCTGCAGCGGGACTGGCAGGCACTATGGGGGTCAGCGTGCAATGCTTTGACCCACCCCCCCAGTAAAATTAAAAGAGCCTTGCACCCAGAAGATGGCGAAACCTCAGGCAGGGCAGCGGGAAGGGGCCGGCCGGGAGTGGGGGGCTCTTCCCGAGCCCCCTCCGGGACGGCTCCTTTGTCTGGGCACGGCCGCGACGCTCCCCGCCGCCCGCCCCTTCCCGCACACACCACGGCATTTTT